ATCTCTCTCTCTCTCTCTCTCTCTCTCTCTCTCTCTCTCTCTCTCTCTCTCTTTGCGAATCCCGCGCTGGGATCTCTTACATTTTTCCACTAAATTGCACTTGGCTCGCAGCTCCGGCAGATGGTGCCGTCCGTCCGCCTGGCGATCGTTACAAACGTTCGTAGGAGTCGGCGCAACATGAAAGCGCGAATTTCGAGCGTGGGCACGCTTTTTCACCGAGATGCTTAGAACTGCAGAATCTGATTAATCCATTCGCGAAACTCCGAGATACGCGTGTAAACGCCAGGCTGGTTGGGCGCGGCGCAGCCAATTCCCCAACTGATAATTCCAGCCAGAATCCATCGTTTATCTCGCGCTCTTTGGATGACCATTGGACCACCGCTGTCACCCTAAAAGGAGTAAAAGACAAGTTAGAAATCTGTTAGTGCTATAAGCTTTCATGGTAAATTAACTATGGTAACTACAGGTAACTATAATGAAATAAATATAATGAAATTGAAAGATATTGAAATATTCTTCTAAAATAGGATTCGATCTTTTAAGATCTTCTCAATCTAAAATATCTTCATTGTGATATAATGATATGTGATTATTAAAGTTGTGTCGATATAAATTAATGGTAAGTACTATATTTAATTATTATTCTAAATCTTGAAAAATTTGAATGAAAACGCAAATGACAATTTTCTTAATCTGTGTAAAATTCTATTGTATAAAAAAATTGAAACTGACCTCACAAGAATCAAATCCGCCGTTCCTCCAACCGGCACAGATAAATATGTGTGGGATATGTTCAATGTAACCCGCATTTCTGTACATCGCTTCGCATACGCTGTTATTGATAACCGGTACTGCAACCTCTTGTAACACGGACGGCAGTGGACCCTCTACAAAAGTAAATAAAAATATTTTTTTAACGTTTGCATGATGAATTTATTATAAAAAGGTTTATTTTGTAGTCTAATAAAATTCATCCTAAAATAAATCTGCAGTTTTAATCAGCGTATATGAAATGTATGCAACATGTAAAATATAAGATTATTCTTGATTCTAGTTACTTATATTGTGCATTTTAATACCATCGTAAAGTCTCCCCCAGCCAGTAACATAGGCGGTACGTCCAACGTAGGTTTCATCATCGTCGGGCAAACAGATTGGCAAAACGTTTGGTTGGAAGGGCAGAAGGGGTTCGTAGAATCGCAACAGGGCAAGATCGTACTCGAAAGTACGCGCGTCGAATTGCGGGTGGCTTGCCACGATCTGCACCCTTCTCTCCTGATAGCCATACGGCTCATCTTCGTTCGCCAAATCGTGCTCGCCGATTCTTAACAATAGATCGCTGGGTGGTACGCTGAAAAATATATTAATGTATTAATGTATCAGACAAATCTTGTCTGAAAACAAAACGTTATTTACAATCTTTAGTTACATTAAACCTTTTAGTTTAGTATTCATGGAGGAAATTGATTCAAGCAAAAAATTTATAGGCACGTATTTTCAAAAACGTTGAACTTTCAAGATTGGGATTTCTGCATAAAAAATCTTTAGAGTAACTTGGTAAACTTGCAATAATTAAATTTTTCATTTGTTTTTATCTTACATAGAGAGAGAGTATATGCAATTATTACTGGGCCTGTGATGTCTAATGTGTTAGAAGACAGAATAATTATGTAAATAAGAGAAAGAAATGAGATTTAAGTGAGATAAATAATTTTTGAAGTATTTTAAGCATATATAAAAGATAAAATTATTTGCATATATAAGATAAATAAGAGATAGATAGAAATGAGTAAAATAGATAGTAGACGGATAAGAGATAGAGATATAAATAAAGATAAGTAAATATTAAAAAAAAGTTTTGCAAAATTGAAGCTTTTGCAAATAACATACATCATGATAAATTTATTAATATAATATTATTTTGTTTTTACAATTTTCGTGAGTTTTTACAATTTTCATAAAAAGTAATTTTTTTAAATAACTCTAACGTTCAATTTATTTGATTTTAGTTAAGTTCTAGTTAATATAGCTAGGATTTAAAATCGTATAAAAAACGTATAAAAACCGATTTAAAAAATAATACAAAATAGTACATATTTATTATTAATAAATTATCAATGATTCTGTGAGAAACATCTACTATTATAAAGATCTACTATTATAATCTATTCCAGAAAAAAATAGAATAATTCGTAAGAGAATAAAATCATTTTTATTTTTAGAAAAATAATTTATTTAATAAACAAGTTCTATACATAATTCTTGTTATTTTATTATCTTTTATCATGGATCATCGATTAAAAACAATAATTTTATACATATATATATATATGCCAACGAAAAGTTAGAAAAAAAAAATATGCAATGATAAGTTTAAAAAAAATTAATAAAATATTGAAAATATATAATATAATATAAAATAACAAAGTTTTATAAATCTCAACACTTTAATTCTCTTGAAATATAATATAGAGCTTTTTGTGAGCTTCAAGTTATTATATTATCTCTAAGTTAGTATGATATATAATTATCTCTAAGTATGTTTTCATACTTAGAGATACGACAATTCATAGTCTTGATTCTTCCTTGCTTCTCAAATATACCAGATGAGAAAATGTTTGTACAGGTAGAGACAATCTCTTTTCATCATGCGGGGATATCATAAGCGCGAACGTACGGATACTTCGCATCGTTGAAGAAACACCATGGGATGAGATGATCGTGCGAGTGGGAGAAAATTCGATTTATGTGTGTTGCAGCGACGGCAAACACTCACCTTTCAACGCAGTGCGCCGCGGTAATAGCCCAGTTCTCGTTCAACAATGCCGCGCCACATTTGTGTAGATACGTCTGTGATCGCCATTGACGTAATGAGATCTGCAAGGAAATCCGCCACGTGAGGAAATCAATCGCCGCGTATGTCGTGTTATGCGACGATCGATCTGTACATTATCTCTAGTACGTAACAAAGTGATCGTTGTTAATGTGAAAGGCTTATCGTTATGATTACGTCTTCCTAAGCTATTTTATTATTATAATTTTTCATTCTGCAGACGGATATGAAATAACGATGCGTATTTATTCGTGAGTATTAGAAAGATTACAATATATTTACAATATCTCTTTTTTGATTTCTAAAATTATATATATTATTTAACATTAATTATATACAACGATATAAATGTTATGTAAACATAGTACGTAATGAGTAAGTATTTCAAAAAACTGGATTATACATTAATGAAATACATTAAATACAATAAATACATTAAATATAATGTGCAGATAAAATTGCATCATGGCGGAATAGCATAATCCGACATGTTTACATAATCCGACAAAATCTTAATACTCTAACTGTAAAGAGTTAATAATTTTGAGATTCTCACCTGCCAAGGCCATTTTCCGAAGGAGCTTCGATCACCACCGACGATTTTGGGTTCCGGAAACAGCCTTCGCCCGCACACTGCAAGGATAAACATCGTCGAGTTAAGTCGCATTACTAAATTCGCAAGTCTCAATTGGACGGTCATGTTGGAGAATGGATGTATTGCGTATGTTCGACTTGATAAACCAGTACCGTTGTGCGGATACGTCGCTCACATAATTCTTTTGTGTCTGCCCGTAGGCGGAATTAAAGTTTTTGTATCGACAATATTATCCACATAACCGCGACACTCGTCGTGTATCGCGGTGATTGCAGGAAATCACTGGCGTTAAAATTTATGACTATACTGTCATTATTTAAATTAAGTTGTCTATCGATCGTGCAACTTGTATAATGGTAACTCAGATATAAAAGATAGTCGTTAATTTATAAATTATAATATTTGTTATATTCTAAGTAACCGCACGAGATTAATCAAATGAGATACTTAAGTAAAATATATGTAATACAAATGATAATCTTGAAAATTAATTGAAGACTGCGGAATAACTTCAGTAATGAAAAATTTCAATATCAACAATTCAAGCAAGCAAGACAATCAGGGAGAAAACAGACATTCTTCTGTAAGGATATAAATCCTTTTCTTAGAAACAGTCTTCTGATTGTAAAATGCGATTGTACATGCGATTTCTATATTAGAATTAGAAATGTCCACTTTATTAAGCAAGAAGTTTAATATTATCGCAAGAAGGTGAAAAGCGTTACTGTCACGATTAAAAGTTGAATCATCTTCGGAGTTTTTAACTGGGGCAAAATCGAATGAACGAATAACGTGAATTCCGACAGTGACCCAAATCCAGTTCCGCATTTCACCCGTCATTTTGTTTTTAGTCCCGAGACTAGTTCTAGTCGAGTAACGATTCGTTCCGGTCACCCAGCCTGGGAACGATCTAATTTCTTTTATTCACCCGCTCGTGCATGTGAAGCGCTCGTAATATTACATCGTAATCCGTTCAACATTTAAGTATTAACCTTGTTTATAGTCAGACATATTGAGAGTCTCCATCGGTACCGGAAGTTCCGTATCGATCGTAACACCGTGGATCGTTGACGGCAGAGTGGTCGATGGCACCATTGGTCTCTTCGTGGCGTTGGCCATAATGGTGCTCTCTGTTATCGGTTTGGCTGAAAATCCAAAGTAACGAAAAATTTCATTTTACTTAATTAACTAAACTCATTTTATTAAAAACTTACTGATATAATTTAGTCATTATGATTTAATTAATTAAATTATCGTTACATCTCACAAGATAAAGAGTGATGTATGATAAAATTAAAATTGTGCGTGCTATTGCGAGGAGTTCCAATGGAAGAAAATTCTTCAATCAGAAGTAGATTGTTGTCGCAATTAAAATTTAGTGAGAGTTTCCTAGAACAGAGGTGATTCCTATATTATGACTTGTTAGAAGATTATTCCTTTCCAGGTTGTTGCTCATTTGCATGATTACGTTTGCCAACTCTTGGAAGTTCTTTAATCGCGAGCAAACTTGTAAACTCGCGGAGTTCTCACAAAGGTTACAATTAATATACCTTACCAGAAGTCAAAGACTGTATAGTGGATTCCGCAACCGGTTCGGTCGTCGACTCTTGAGTCTGCGGTAAGTTTTCGGTGGTAGGCGACTGAATCATTATCCAACCATCCGGGGTCGTTATCGGCGACCAATCAGTTTCCGCTTGCTCTGCGAAGCGAACAGACATAATATAAATACCTAATTGTGCTTTAATTAGTCGTAATTTACTAAAACTAAAACGCTGTGATCCTTTATATCTAAGAAAGTCAGGAGAATAGATAATTCATTGCGATAGAGATAATTCATTGAAAAAAATAAATAATTCAAAATCGACTAAAAGCTCATCTAGCAGGATATTTTTGTCCACGATGTACATGTAAACGGAAAAAAAAAAAAAAAATAATCGGGGGAATTTTTTCTTCAGTTTTGTGGACCTGTATTTTTCAGAGACTGTTAGTTTCGTATAGATATACTATGCTAATTTGAAACAGCGCGAACCGGTTTGATTCTCCAATTTGGGTGGCCGAGAGAAGAGCGAGTTCTGTTTTTTTTTTTTTCTTTTGCGAGGTATAGCAAGATGGATCATAGTTATTAGAAGATAATTAAAGTCTTGTCGCGCAATAAGATGGCTAGAGATATGCAAGGAATATGACCGTAATTGCGTCGGTGGAGAGCTTCGGATGGCTGGTTTGTGAACCGTTACGACATTTAATCCTGATGATGTATCGCAGTGCCATGCTATTGAAGGAACAAGCATGATCCACATTTCTATAAGAAATATATATTTCTATGAGATTATCTTTCATAGGATCCGAGAAGCAATCTTGGTCCGCGAAATGTGGCTCATTCGGATAAATAAAATATCCGCTCGTCGAATAAACGCAGAATCCGGGACGAATTACCTACTTATGTAGCTCGGCCTTGCTCAGTTTTGCGTTACATGCGATCGAGATGCAATTATACCATTTAAAGATGTGTGACGTTTTTTTGAATCTGACGTGTATCTGACGATATTTGGTAAAAACTGATTTAAACAATTGTGTCGAAATCGTTAATTTTGATTAAAAATAAATTTAAAAGTAAATTTGTGTTTAGAAAAGCGATGGATAATGTATTTTGTCAAATTGTAAATATGATACTAAAATTCGAAAGTTGTAAAGAAAGATGTAAAAAGCCATCAAAATATTGAAAAAAGCAAAACAGATACATTTGAAAAATCAAAAGTTTATTTCAGATGTTATAATTAAAGTAAACTTTACAAATTGCGAATTTAATTTTGCCCTTTTTATTTTATAAACGATAACAAAAAATCATTTTAGTTTATATTTGACTCTTTACTCAATAAATTTTTAGTAGCGTGTTAATGTGTTTTTTTTTTTTTTATTCGTACGACGATGGTCATTCGCGGACTTTAAATATGCTCCCTTCGTCGGCATCGATCGATCCTTCGAGGAATTATCGGAAATGTGATTAGCGGCTTTATTCGTTTTGTGTCTGTATGCTAACCGGTGAAATCGAAGAAAACGGACGTTCATTGTGTAAGTGACGCCCTTACTGTCAATAGGAAATCATGATAGCAATCCACGTTTTGTGTGTGTGTGTGTGTGTGTGTGTGTGTGTGTGTGTGTGTGTGTGTGTGTGTGTGTGTGTGTTGCGCGGCATGCATCAAAACGGTGAGAATAGCGAAAGCCCGTTGACAAATTGCTGTGTAAATCTATCGTCTTTTGCTTTCGCCTTTCGTTTCAAATCAGCAATATTAGCCATGAAGACCCAAGATCTTTCTCCTTTCTCCTTTTATGAGAATCAAAACGTAACAAAAGTACAATATATTTATTAATGTTATAATTAACATTATGATTACTTTAATATCGTAATTAAATTATATTTAAATTATTGATCACGTAATTGTAATTGATTTATAACATTTTCAAAATTTAAGATATATAAGGTGAGAAGATTAAAAAAAAAAAATTAGATAATATATTTATTCACCTGACGATGTAGTTATCGTTGACGTTGACGATGATGTTTCGGACGCCTTCGTGGAAACTTCATCGGAGTTAGAACTCCACGTCACCAATCCTGGTGAATAGGTAGTCAATGGGATCTCCTCGAGGGTGTGATTAACATTCTGATCCTTAGTAGGAGGCACGTGGGTCGAGGTGCTCTCGTTCTTAACGATAAACGTGGATATCGAACTTGAGATACTCGTGGTGACCTCGACTATACTGGACGTGTTCACAGGAACCTTCATCAAGGATGTTGGCTTCGTCGTGCTGGGTCTAGGTTTCGTAATGCCAATTGTTGAACCGACAGTTGACGACAAAGGTCTCGTCCTCTCCGTCGTCGTAGTGCTGATATACTCGGGTTTAGTAGTCTTTGTTGTCGTACTAGTAATCTTAGTGGGTTTCAACTTCGTCGTGGCAGATGACGACGGTCTAGACGTGGTCGTTCTGCTGCCAGTCGTTGTTTTAACTGTCGTCGGCCTGGCAGTGGTCGTTCTGATTGTCGATGATTTTGTTGTCGTTTTCGAAGTTGTCTTTGGCGTTGTCGTTTTCGTGGTGGTCGTCTTCTGATCTGTATTCTTTGTCGTAGTGGTGGTTTTTTCACTAGTTGCACTCGTCGTCGTCGTTAATGGTTTAATCCCGGTAGAAGCTAAAGTACTCTCCGTGACGTTCGCACTGGAAGATCCCACGCTGCTGAACAAACTGGAGGTTGAGTGAGGCTTGGTCGTTACTGGCAGAGTAGTGCCAAAACTGGAGTTCGTGGGAAGCTTCGACGGAGTCGACGGTCTCTTTGTCAATGTGGTCGGTTTCTTCGTGGTCACCACCGGGCGTTTCGTTATTACTGTGGTGCTAGGTCTTTTGGTGCTTGGTTTCCTCGTGATCGCCTGAGTCAGTGGTTTGACCGACGTCGTATTTCTCGGTGGAAATCTGGTTGAAGGAGCTATTTTCTGCGTGGTAGTCGCGAGAACATTTTTTATTGTAGTCGTGGTTGATTGAAGAATCGGCTTGCGAGTAGTCGAAGAGAGCGGTTTCTGAGAGACTTGCGCCGTTGGTCTTTGCACTGTGGTCGTAGAGACAACAGGTTTCTTCGTTGTCGGTTTCGAAACTGTTGTGGTAGATGTCAGTTTTGTTATATTCCCGCCGTTAGGTCGTAGGGTAGAGGCCAAAGTGGACGGCTTCGTAGGTTGTCCTGTCGTACTTGATGATATACTTGATGGCATATTTACAGTACTGTTGGTCTTTTTTAATGACGTGGCTTCTGTACTCGGGCCAGTACTTTGCACGGTTTGGAACGTTGAGAGGCGAGTAGTCTGCGTAGTCATTTCTATCGTCGTAATCGTTGGTTTCTTTGTTATAAACTTGGTTGCATCTTTCATCGTATTCGCCGAAGTTTGAGTACTTTGCGTACTCAAAAAGATAGGTGTTGTCTATAAAATTATTAAATTGATTATTAATATAGACATAAAATGTTTTGATAAATATCTAATTTTTTTAAGTAATTATATAATTAAATCAATTAGTTTATCTACAATTTATTAAATAAGACAATGATCCTAGTTTTTTTCTGATAAACAACATTAAGATTTAACGAATTATATATAATGCAAACTATGACAAATATTCTAATAGGTTTTGAATAAAGATTATCATTATGTGTGAATCTTGAACATAAATAAAAAAATGAAGATTTTCTTTCAACTGAATTTAGTTAATTATACTAATGATATATGAAAAGTTGCAAGATTCTCATACATCCATAAATTAGGTTCTTACACACACGATATATCGATGATTAAGTGCTTTAATGAGCAACTTTCTTTCTTAAATCCATGAATCAATTGTGAGATCACACGAGCTACTGCACTTATCTCGATGATCTCACTCAGAGAAAGTTATTATAACATATCTGAATGAGCTGAATGAGAAAATATCATATCTCGTTCTTTCTCGCGTATCATAATTCAAACTCCACCATTGTAACTCTACACCATTATTCACTGTCATTTAAAAATTTCATTTTTTTTCTAAAACTAACATTTATTAAATAAGATAGAATTTTGGTCACCTACTATCGTCAATATAAAAATATGATAATATAAAAATTAAATTAACCTTCTATCAAAAAGATCGTGAGGATCATTTATTATCAGGCCACATTTACTTTATCGAACATTAAGCTCTCTGCGGATAATTTGACGGAATAATTATTTTTGGAAGGATGTTACGACTTTGACTTCATCGAACCGACTCTAAGAGTCTCAAGCTGTCACGCTGTTCGTACGAATTGACACATGGCGAAACGTGTCTAAGCCGGCTCGCTGCTTCATTAGGCGATCGTGTCTACTTGCCGTGATTTGCGAAGCTTCGGCCGGTTTCTTCGCGTCGGTCGGCTTGGGCCTCGCGAAGTATTCCGGTATGCCGCTACTCCCGCTAGGTCCGTGCGTCGTGATGAACGGCCTTGGCGGCGGTGGACCATCGTCGATGCTGTTGTCCTGCGGGAAGATGTCCGGCTCGTCGTCGATCTTGCAACAGCTACCGAAGTAGAAGCGATCGATGCAGGTGCCGAGATGCGTGCCATTAGCCTTCGCGCAGGTAAACGCGAACATGCACACGCCGGTCTCGCCGCTCCTGCGTGACACGCAGGGTAAGTGCCTGATGTTTCTTCCCGTGCCTGCAAAAACGAACGAGGAAACAACCATTATTACGTATGTCTAAGTAAGAAGTCGATCCTCCATTAATTCTCTATACTTAAACGTCGTCGAAATAACGTTGCTTTAAAAATATTATTTTGCATCCACAGTGTTTTATACAATCATCGGTGTTCGATTTCTGACTTATATATAGCTCGAAATCGTCGTATCAACGTCTTTTTATATAACTCTCGTTTCTTTCATCTAATGTCTCATAATTTGTCGGAAACCTGCCGTTGCGATACCTCATGGTGATACGCGATTCTCCCAGGTGATAGACATTCTTCCGTTTCGAGAGATTATCTCACACAATTTAATGCGAAAGTAAAGACTTCTTCACCGCGGGGAGAAGTATTCATGAAATAAAACATTACGAAGTGATCGCCTTGAGGTGAAATTCCCCTCTGAATGATCGTCAACGGTGATTAGATAAACGCTTCCGTGATCTCCTCCGAAGTGTATATCAACCTTCACCCGGTGTCTATAACTGTTCATTCACGATATATACGTTCTACATTCCCGCCCGTAACACTTCGCTCTCGTATCGTCAACGCTATCTGCTTATAATTCCCTCTTGATAATCTTGCCGAGCGCCATGCAGATAATGGCGCGGAACCGCGTATAATTGCGAAACGAAATCACGAAAAGGAAATACGTTGGAAATGTGACGGACAGCTCCGGCGCGAGGTGTCAATATAAGACGGACGTGTGAAGTAGACAATCGTAATATTTCATATCAAATTTTATATGGAAATTATTAGCTCGACAAGACATTTGTCCAACCTGCGAAATTGGATACTACAGGTTTATCGATAGAATTTGTGTTGAATGGATTGAATCTTGTTGCTTATGATAGGAAATTGAGAATCGCATATGCATTAATAAGGAATAACAGGAATCTTTGCCAAGTCTTTCCACGCATTGCGTGTGTCGACACAACGGAAAGTGGATAAACAAACAGATGTCATGTTAAACTTAAAAAATCGGGAATATCAGAGGCGTATAACGGAATGACAGAAGTCTGCTTTGACAATGATTCATACGGTCGTGCGATACAGTTAGCCACGAAAGAGCAACGCACAGTGTCAGAAGAAGGTAAAGGAAGCGTGCTCTCCGTGAAATAAAACGAAATAAAACTTTCAAGATTTTATAAAAAAATATCTTTGCGTTAAGATTATAGAAATAAAAAAAAAAAAAACGGATATGACATATATGCATTGTAGTAATAATTTCAGTTAATCAAATCAATCAATATCTTAGACAATGAAATAAAATGTATAAAATTCACCGACGTAACAAATCCATAAAAAAAAAAAAGAAAATGTAACGCGTGCAACTTGCATGCGACAAATGCCATCTCTGGCCATCAAAAATCCTGACGGGATCGTAATTCTCGTTGGAAACGAGACTTACTCCAACTTGGATTTGCAATCGCGGTTTTATATCGGCGATCGATTGTAAAACACCGCTAATGCGTATACGGCGTATGCCGTATTATATCGGAGAACGAATTGATGTCAGGCGAGGCGAAGCATCTCGGTACCGTTAAGTTTCAATGTATGAGCTAGTTGCCCGACCCAAAAGTGGGTCACAGTCATAGCCTAATGTAACAGCCTGTTTCCCTCTAAGATACCTCACGATCTCCCTCTCTTGCTTCATCTCTGTCCCCCCCTCTCTCTCTCTCTCTCCCTCCCCTCCTCTCTCTCTCTCTCTCTCTCTCTCTCTCTCTTTCTCTCTTCTTCTCTCTTCCCTTCTCTCCTCCTCCGAGGTCTTCGGCTCAACAAAATCATCGTATACATTCCAAGGTGCTCTGGCTTGGCGTGATTAAACGAGCATATCTGACCTGAGATGCTTGGATGGACCAGGCGTGTTCCCGGTATAAACATGGAAAACCCGCGAACGGTATTCTCGGTATACTCTGTGTACACCGCATCAAAGAAAGTGACAGATCACTTAGCATAGTAAACATGAGACTTTACATCGAATGACGCTACGTACGTCGTGTTTCGAAAAGAGTGCGAGAGAGAAAAGGTAGATAGTTATGATATCAAACAGAAATTCGGAGATATCTATTGTGAAATTAAACGTCCAATTTGCGCTTTATTTTAATTTTGCAAATTGCGTAAACGCGCAAATCATTAATCGGCAGTGACATGAAGATTGACAATGAATGTACAACCAGGCACACCGTTGTGTTTCCGTACTTCAAAAACTGGCACGAACGGATCGTTAAAGCGTCATAGTTTTTCCGCGATTGTTTACTTTCTTTTGCCTGGCTCGTCGGGTCGACGGACGTTTCGTGGCTAGTGAAAATCAACCGTAAAATTGTTTGCGGTCCCGGTGCTCCCGCTATCGGGTCAGTCGGTCAGACCCGCTCGCCCAAAAAGTTCCGCAGGCCTCGGTCATCCCGTCCGCGTAGAAAATGTGTGCTGGCGGAAGTGACGCGTTTAGTTAGTCACCGACGCGAAAGAAAGTTGGCGACGCCTTTATGTAGCTGACGGAATTTCAAGCGGTGCCGCGCCATAGAAGATTACGCGCGTAAGCGTGTGTGCGTGCGTGTGCACGCCTACACTTCGCGATCGCGCGCGAAGAATTTCACTCGCGGCTATAGCTCATTGTAGGAAAGTGCTTTATCTGATCGCGACAAACGTCACGCGGATACGGAAGTCTCCGCGTGGTTCGTAGAGGGAAGGAGAAGACCGGGGTCGTCGAAAGCGATCGACGTCATCGTATTGTCATCTAACAATTGCGTTACAATCGCAGCTACCAGAAATAGTGTCGTAATATTAGGTTTACATAAGACGAATCTGAACGAATCTAATACGCATTATGCGTATTGTGTGCGCGCGTTAAAATAAAAGTCGAGTGGAAAAAAAAATAAGTCGAGAAAATAAAAGATAACGATCGGGGATCATCTCGCGGATCCCCTGCAGATGGGAATGATCACGCGAAAATCGTCGGAATCGGGGAATGGAAAAATCGCCGTAAGTCACGCGGCTCGATGACCGTGGTTGACCCACTTCTACAGAAAACTGACCAGTCCGCCCACGTCCCGTTCGAACACGAATTCAAGGTAGGTTCAATGCCGCTGCATGCGATGAAGACAAGCGAGCGCTTACGCACACGCGTAGATCGGGCTGGGGACACGGGTAGATCTCGCTGTGCCGGTTACTGGTATTTGTGTACCGATCCGTTACTCAGCTGACACACGAGGAAAATGCAGCGAGCGTGAAAGAAGAGGACAAGCGCGGATATGTCGCAGGTTTATAGGAATGGACTTGAGATTCTTGTCGCAACTGAATCGTTTTTAAGTCGTAAACATGTGCATTTTGCAATGCTGAAAAATCGGAAAAATTGAGAAAAATGCCGATGAAAAGATAATTTATTTACGCTAAAACGAATTCTTAAACGAGCATAAAATATTTTTTTCCACATTAAATTTAAAAAAAAAAAGTCACGAGGCTTCTATTACGTTAGATTTTTATTTGAAAATATAATGTAGCTTGAAGATATTAATGTCACATAAATTTGTATCTCGAGATATTGCCGGTAATATATGGTAGTCTAACATAACTTTAAATAGCCCTTTAATATCGTCTTCAATCGATGGAATATAAGAGGCACAACTTTGAAGAAACTCGGCTAGTTCTTCCAAATTGATTCCATTGATTTTAATTCGCAATTACATCTAATTAAAGTTACTTATAATCGGAGGTCGATACGCCGGAGGAGGCACCACGTAATTTCCGTAAGACGACGTATCGGCAATTTAATCAGCGAATTATGATCATTAAATATCGTGTGTTACAGAGAAACTCTCTCAACTGCACCGATGTTATCTAGAAATAAACTATTGATACTCTTCCCGGGAATAATAGAGTGACCTAAAGTACTTACTTCCTGGTTGAAATTGAGGAACATAGATCGGACTGGCGATAGCAACGGTGTGGATCAACACATTGCCGATGAAAACGGCAGCCCAGGTCTGTTTCCGTCGGTCACACATCTGAAATACAGACGAAAATGCGAAAAGATTAGATTTATTCTTCGAATAGAGACTTTATTTTTCCGAGACATTTAACTAAAGGGTTGCTATTTGCAACCCTTTTCGCCGCATTTCGATTTTTGCTCTTTCGCGAAAAACATGATATATATATATATATATATAAGGATAAGAGAAATAAAATTTTATAAAGTTACAATTTCTTCTTTCGCGTTGATTTGATCCATCGCTAATCATTATTCGTCATTAACAATGTTCATTCAATCAATATTTACAAAACAGGGCCATTTTCGTGCAATTTAGACAACGTAGACAACTTGACATTCACGCTACAATGATAAATCTGGGAAGATTTTCACGAAGAATGGACGGGGCGAGGAACTGACGTCTCTCCGTCTGGACGTAATTACATGATATAATTGCATTTGATTATAGCGAGACGTCAGTGTACTGATGACTACGCTTTAACGCTCGTTCTTAGCGGCGCGACTCGTAGACGGCTCGTTTCAATTCGCCACCGGATGCTGCTTAGCCGAGCCACTCTCTCGACGGACGTGTCATTTATACCTCTTACAATTACGAGGATAATTTTGGTGCAGATTAATGCCCTCGGTGTCAGAGTGATATTGAATCACTCGCCGTCTTGTTACGCCGAAGGGTGCAAAGCTCATTTATCTTTCGCAACAAACAAAATAAATAAACGGAAATAAGCACAATTGTGCATATCACACACGTCAAGCCAACTGTAAAATCCTCTCATGGTGCAGAATTAACCGCGAACATTACGTAATTAATTGTGATTAATTGATGATTAAACACGATTCCTTTAGTAACAGCTCGATTACTAGCATCAAAGTTGTAAAAACTATTAATGAATAAATGATAAGGCGGAACCAAGTGCTCGTCGAGCGTGAAATTAGATCCGGATTTAATTAACTCAGAATTCATATTCTTGTTTATCCGTGTAACACGTTTGAAATGCGAACATTTGAGATGTTCAATATTAATATGATTCATAAGGTTGATTGAGAATTAAAATAGAAAGATAATTATTTCACGAGCACGTAATGCTTCTTATAATCAGATAGGATTCGTTCGGTCATGTCCAGAAGTTCGATAGAGAAAAAAATTTTGATGGAATGCACAGCTAATTGCATGCTATATGATGAAATAATTCCAAGAGACGATTTTTCTCGCCTTTTGCACAATTTGCATTTAGCGAGAGATTCTGGCTCGGTCAATAACCTTTGTTGCGAAAAATGTTCATGGATTCATTTAGCAGATCTGTCGTCAACAAGAATGAAGAAGAGAAAGAAGAAGAAGAGAAATCCTTTCAGCCTATCGACAAAAGTATGTCTCAATTGGTTCACTTCTGGACCACGATGTCGAGATCTCATTTTCAATCCCTAGATTTCTTCGCATCTTTCATCATTCCCTCGCGGTTATCTTACGATGTTAATTATTCAGGGAATCATTGGCGGTGTAGTCGTTCGTAGCCGTGCAATCGGCGAGAACATCGGGTTACAGTTATTCGGAGGCAGGAATTTGGATGTAACGTTATACTTCGCCGAGCTTGAATCACATAACAGTGAACGGTGATCATCTGTCGTTGATCGAGTCAATCCGCTCGTATAATGCTCTTTACATTGAAAATCGATTGACAGTCGTTTGTAGCTGATTATTATTACAAATAATTATGAATTTAATCGAACAAAATTTAATTTGTTAAAAAAATTGTTATTTTTATATGTTCAATATTTTATTTGTATATATGACAATTTTTATATCGCTACGCTTAAAAGTAAACTCTGTGCGTGTGTTTTTATATTATTGTACGCACATTTTTCTTCTATTCTTATTTTATATTTTTATAATTCAGTGTTCTCAATATATAATTTATTAATAAATAATTTTATAGAATATAATATTCTTATTTCGATGATGAGTAAGTTAAAGTTTAAAACATGATTCGCAACGCGATGTGTCGAGGATCGGATATTTCTAGTTAGAGTCGCTAGCCTTTCGCTGGCAGATCGTGAAGGAAATGCAGTGATTTCATCCAGTGTAGAATCCGCCACGTCTTGAGGAAGTGATAAAAACCGTTACAGTTATGCAGAGGCAGGAATTCGGGTGGATAAAGCAACGAATAAATGTTGACGTGAGTTGCGTTGGCTTGTCGATGGTCAGGTCACCGGTCTCCCTGTTTCTAAAACGCTGTACAACAATTATATCTCGTAATCGATGCATTTCTAATTAGTATATTAGTATCTTTCTTTACTCAAAGTCCGAGCACACGGTACCCATGTTAATTGACTAGAACAAATGTATATAATCCGACAAATGCTAAGCGAGTTTCAATTTTTTTTCATTAAATAAACTTAGTAAACTCTTATTTTTTAAGCTAGATGACTCAGGAATTCTTTTCACGTTCTTTCAGCAAAAGTGACATGTATAATCATGCTTTATAAAACGAGAAAGATTTTTGAAAAAGCTTAATTCTTCATTAATTAATAATATAATTTATAACATAAAAACAATTAATATAAATAGAACAAATGAGAATCTGCGAAGTGCGCTAATTACAATTTTTGAAATTTTTTTAATATAAAAAAAATTCACTTTTTCACTTTGACTTTTGCAATTTTATAGTAAAACTAGTAATGTAATCTAATCGTACTATTATTACTTATCCCTTCGGTCTCCATTTTTGTGTCTTTACTATGATTGTTAAGACACAACTTGTCGCAATCAGTATTCCTTGTTCGTTTGCTTGCATTTGCATTAATTACACGTTTAGATATTTATGGAATTGATGCTCTCCTTCAAAAAAAAAAAAAACATTGTACGTTGCCGTACAATGCCATATCTTAATTGGCAGACGAAAGCGACTAGAACGCACGTGCGTACCGTGCATGGCGCATATACGCACGTAGAAAAAGCTTTTGTCGTAACGTAGCACTCGCGCAGGTAACGGTACCTGCCACTTTCATTTGTACTCACGTATCTAATGTGAGCCACACATGTGGGTTGGCGCCGAGATACACCAAATGGGCAAATAAAACCGTAAGTCTCAATCCTCGAGCTACGAACCGCGCTGTATATTATATGAGTTCTTTTCAACGAGTATAAAATATTTATTATGGGCGTATTAGATATGGCAGTGCGCGTAAAACCAGAAAGTTCAAACGGCACCGGTATTTTTTTAGCTCACATCCGTGAAAAATTATTCGAGATTATTACGGAACAATCCGGCCGTATTTAATAAATCCGAATTTTAATCCGAATTTCCACATAGGGAACCAATTAAAAAATATATTACTTTCATATTCAAACGCATCTCAACGCGGCTCTGACGGCTTTTTTAAATCGTAAATTTTTTTCATATTACCTCGTAACAGATTTATACGAAAAATGTTTCTAGAAAAATAACAATAATTATTATATTATACAGGGTGTTCCGCGAGACTTCTGCCACCGCTCGTAAAAAAAAATAGATAGGGACCGAAATGAACATAAAGTTTCATACCATTTTGTGATATTCGCAATAATAATCGAGATATTAATTATTAAAAATCACCCGGCCCACTGGTAAATGCAAGAGCGCGGTAAGATACTCCTCATACATTACTACATTCCTACATTACTTCTCATTGTTGATAGGTGCGTGAGAAATTGTTTACTTCAAACGGCAATAGCTACATACGAGCCGCTTGAAGTAAATAATTTCTCACGCGCCTATCAACAATGATCGCCGTGTCTTATCGCTTGCCGGGCTAATACGGGGTGATTTTTAATAATTAATATCTCGATTACTATTGCGAATATCACAAAAATGGTATGGGACTTTTATGTTCATCTCGGTCTATCTATTTCCCATCTATTTTTTTTTCGAGCAATCTCGCGGTATACCCGGAATATCTCAGCGATAATTCATATCGTTTCTAAAGAAACACCATTTTTAACAGCTCTCTCTCTCTCTCGGACGAAATAGACAGATTCATTCGGAGAATATCAGAATTTTCTCGGTAAACTATCGTGAATTATGCATGAAGCTGCGTAAAATAGAGGCAGACATTAGTTTACACGTATACACGCGCGCGCACACGTGTGCCCGATCGTGTACGAATGAAATTCAGTTGAAACGAGCTAATATACCGCTATTCTAAGGAACATGCGGCTAACTTCGACAACGGATTTGCAATATGTGCCGCTCGTCGATACACACAACACAACGTATACACGAATAAATCCCCAGATTGATTATTCGCGCCATAAACTGTGTTCATCAAGCGGATAATATTGGTATGTACCGAAGTGCAACCACCGTAATCTGTTGTTCATGTGTTTTGCTTGGCTTAAGCTTAACCAAGTGTGGTCAGCGCGTCTTTGCACTTCCGTCTCTCTTTTATTTAATTTTATTATATTAAAGATTTATCTATTTACAAAATTAATACATAGCCGATCTATCTTCGAGGCGAGTTAATGAAACTTATTTTTCATTTGAAATTTACCTTGTTAGAACGAGTACAAGAGTAAATGTAGCAAACTATGTATCTAAGTAGAAGAGTAAATGTTCAAATCTGTTACGTAAATAGTAGATATTAGATATGTATAAGTTTGTTAATCAGTTAATCAGTCGTGTTTTTATTTCAAAAAAATTGAAGATATCGTTAATGTGAGAGTTGATTAAATGTTGCAAAATGTCGTAAGATATTAATATATTCTTCCGTTTAAGGAGGAACTGATTGCCGTCAGTCAATCATCAGTAGTTATCGATCAATACTCAGCCGACCGTGGAAACGATAAAAAACATTTAATCGTTCTGGTGCCGACTCTGAGGATCAAGGACGACAGACCACGGAGGAAACCACCTGTTCAGCATCCGTCGTGACTAGGAACCCCGCGGCAGCGCACGAACCGTCAGTCGCGCGATCGGAACGCTTAATTATCCCGAATTATCCCGCGTAAAGGTGCGTCGCCCCCTGACAAAAAACGATACCATCGACCATCGACCGTTGTAATCTCGACGACGAAGGCCACTCGCGCAAGAAAGTACGAGGCTTCTTCACATTTCAGGACCTTGAGACAGAGCCGTAAGCATACCTTGACTGACACCGCTCGACAGACCGCTGCTGTTGGCCTCTGCTTCTACCGCAAAATATCGCTACTCCGAGCTCCTCCAAGTTGTTAGACTTCGCGACGATGCATCGTCGTCCTTGATAATGCCTCGTTGGCGATGAATGTGACCACCGAATTTCGAGTCCC